TTTGATTTTATGCCTTTCCTCACTAGGGTTATATTTAATCAACTTTTAAAAATTACCAACCACTTAAGTATTTCATCTTCCTTTGAAGAGATACAGAAATATTTAATTATGTTAATTTTGTCTTTATCTTCCTAATATAAAGGATTATTTGACCATGGCTATACATAGACTACACTGATTTTATTTTACTTTTTTGCAGTCCTAGAAATCAAACCTAAAATAGGCTACATTTTAAATGAACACTGTAGGCTTTACAACAATTCCTGTGGTAAAACAACCATGTTTTGCCAGCCATAGGTGGCTTGCACCTGTAATCCTGCCTACTCAAAAGGCTGAGATCTGAGGATCGAGATTTGAAGGCAGCCTAAGTTATAGAAAGTCCATGAGAATCTTTCTTTCTTTCTTTCTTTTTGGGGGGGGGGGTCCGGTCATGGGGCCTGAACTCTGGGCCTGGGCGCTGTCCCTTAGCTCTTCAGCTCAAGGCTAGCGCCCTACCACTTGAGCCACAGCGCCACTTCCGGCTTTTTTCTTTTTGCTTATGTGGTGCTGAGGAATCGAACCCAGGGCCTCAGGCATGCAAGGCAAGCACTCTACCACTGAGCTACCTTCCCAGCTCCTGTCCATGAGAATCTTGTCTCCAGTTAACCACCAAAAAGCCAGAAGTGGAGCTGTGGCTCAAGGTAGAGTGTTAGCCTTGTGCAAAAAAGCTCGAGATAGCACCCAGACCCTGAGTTCAAGCTCTCCAGGACAGGCAAAAAATAATAACATTGACCATGTGTATAGGATTACGTGTATAGGATTAAATGCTTAAAACTTACTCTTAGATATAAGTAGTGTTTCCTTCAGATATATGTGATTTTTATAGTTTAGAGATTAAAAATCAATTTCAAGTGACTTTTAGTCTTTTGTATTTTCTTTTTGAAAAAGTTAATTTACAATTATATGAAATATATTTAAAAGAAAATCATAGTAAATTTTTCAAATGAGATCAGATTTATGATGCTCAAAACCAATTTCCAGAATGGCCAATTTGCCTTGTTATTACAAAAAATTAGAGACAAGACCATAGAAGGAAGTGATGAAAACAGCTAATACCCCCACAGAGACAGGTAGGGAAATGTACACATGGAGAAATCTCTTCGTTTATTTTCTTGAAAAAGAAGCTATCTTCTTGTAGTTACTTTTTATATAAAACTAACATTCCTTCAGAATTACCTACATTTTATAAGTCTGCAACATTACAAATTTATTATTGATTAGGTGTTTTATTGCCACTTTATTTTGAGGTTTTATCTGGGCTCTAGAATCTTTCTATGGATTTCAGAAAACAGTCATCAATTGTAATGTGTTAAAAAGTGTTACATTCATAAATACTTTTAATCCTGGGGCTGGGAAGGTGTCTCAGTGGTAGAGTGCTTGCCTCGCATGCATGAGGCCCTGGGTTCGATTCCTCAGCACCACATAAGCAGTAAAAAAAGCCGGAAGTAGTGCTGTGGCTCAAGTGGTAGAGCGCTAGCCTTGAGCTGAAGAGCTGAGGGACAGCACCCAGGCCCAGAGCTCAGGCTCCACCACTGACAAAAAATAAAAATAAAAAAATAAAATAAATATTGTTAGTCCAGCCACCAATGATGTCTCAAGCCTATAATTCTAGTTACTAAGGAGGCAGAGATCGTGAAGGAGGCAGAGATTTTGAGGATCACAATTCAAAGCCAGACCAAACAGACAAATCAATCCAAAGCACCTGGCATGAGAGTATTTCCTAATACCCATTCTTGAAGATCCTTTTATCTCCAAAGGAAACAACAAAAAGCTGAAAGTGGAGATATGACTTAAGTGATAAAGTGCCAGACATGAGCAAAGAAGCTGAGAGAGCTCAAAGCCCTGAGTTCAAGCTTTAGTAATGGCACAAAAAGGAAGAAATATCGTTAAGAGTATAGAGAATGGGTTGTTTGGGGCATTTGTAGATATGCCAGTTCCTGTGTATACTATTGAACTTTAAGAGTTTTGACTAGGGCTGGGAAGTTGGCTCAGTGGTAGAGCGCTTGTCTTGCATGCCTGAGGCCCTGGGTTCGATTCTTCAGCACCCCATAAGCAAAAAGAAAAAAGCTGGAAGTGGCGCTGTGGCTCAAGTGGTAGAGTGCTAGCCTTGAGCTGAAGAGCTGAGGGACAGCGCCCAGGCCCAGAGTTCAGGCCCCACGACCAGACCCCCCCCCCAAAAAGAGTTTCGACTAAATATCAATTTACCAAGCATAGTTGCTTTTTTTTTTTTTTTCCCCTGCTCCTGGGGTTTGAACTCAGGGACATGGCTCTGTCCCTGAGCCTCTTTGTGCTCAAGGCCTAGTGCTCTACCTCTTGACCTATAATGCCACTTCCAGCTTTTTCTGAGTAGTTCATTGGAGGTAAGAGTCTCACAGACTGTCTTGCTCGGGCTGGCTTTGAGTCATGATTCTCAGATCTAAGTCTCCTGAGTAGCTAGGATTGCAGGCATGGGTCACTGGCTCCCAGCAAGCACTTCATTTTCTTTAATTTTAGGAAGCCTCACTATACAAGTGTGGAAGTAGTTACCAATTCCTGTTATCTTTCCTGGTGTTTGTATTTGAAAGGATGCATTGTTTCTTTAGCTGATAGATTCAAAAAATATTGGGTTTAATCTGTATCATGTTCAGATGGTCTGAATGTATATAATACTAATACAATGATAGTAGTGACAATGTTTCTCATTTCAAGTTTAGGGCCATACATACTGTTCAAACTTTATTGTGAAATTCTCAAAGAAATAGGACTCTTTTTGACTCTTTTTGTTTTGTTTTACAACTATTTATCATTTCTCCTACCCTATTTGGGAGAATTTTAATTATTAAGGACATTAGCACTTTATCTTGATTAAATGTACAATTATTTTTTTCCTAGTTTGCACATATCTTTTAATATTTTTTGGTGGTTTTAACATTTAAAAGTGTCGTGTAATTAACCCCCTCCCCCACACACACACACCCTCCTTTGTTTTCAGTAGTGGGGCTTAAACTCAGGACCTCACGCCCTCACTTGGCTTTTTTGCTGGTTTATTGTAGATAGTTTTGCAGACTTTTCTGCTCAGTCTGGCTTTGAATTTCAATCCTTAGATCTTAGCTTCTTGAGTAGGTAGGATTCCAGGCCTGAACCACCAGCACCTGGAGTAAGAGTATTTCCTAATTCCCATCCTTCAAAAGGACAGGAAAAAAGATGGTGGAAAGGAGCAAAGTTGTGAAAAGAGCCCTTAATATGTGAAATGAGGTGGGTTAAGATGATGCAAGTTGTGATTGGAGGTATGGTTCAGATGGTAGAGTGCCAGCCAACCAATGAGCAAAAGCATCAGATACTGAGTTCAAGGCCTGGTCTTGGACAACAAACAAAAAAAGATTATTGAAGACATTTCAAAGACAAAAGTGTCCAATTTACCCTTGCTCAAATACTTAAATTCAAAAGAATAAGGAGAAATTCTTAAACTCCTGATTGCTTGCTGTAAAAATTAAAAGTGGTAAGTTTGAAAAATACATGAAAGAAATATTTTAATGTGTTAGACAGAACTAATGTAATATGATAAACATCATGCTTACAAAGTTCAAGAAAGTACTTCTGCACTAAGTGTTAATTGTCAGGAAGGGAGACCTGAAGATCAATGGATAAGCATTGTATGTGAAGTCCCTGGCTATGATTATAGATGCGGCTTTGTTAATTTCTTGACCACTAATGCTACATAAACATGCTGTATTTCATTTGAAAAATCCCAAAACTGTAAGAGGATCTCAAAGGTTAATTATGCGCTTGATGGACAAAGAAGAACTTCTGTAGTTACAAGTTGAAATCTCCACAAGTTAGACTTTGACAGGTTTGGCCTATCACTGTTCTGGTATTTCACAAAGATCAGTTGTCAGGTAATGAGGTTAATGATGAAATTGTACATTTAAAAGATAATTTAAGCCTGGCTTAAATTATCTGGTGGCTCATGCCTGTAATCCTAGCTACTCAGGAGTCTGAGACCTGAGGATCATGGCTCAAAGCCAGCCTTGGCAGGAAAGTCCACGAAACTCTTATCTCCAATAAACCAACAGAAAACCAGAAGTGATACTGTGGCTCAAGTGGTAGAGCACTAGCCTTGAGCTGAAGAGCTGAAGAGCACCCAGGCCCAGAGTTCAAGCCCCATGACCAACCCCCCCCCCCAAAAAAAAAAAAAAAAAGATGAGTTAAAAACAAACTAAACCAAGGTGCAAATAGTTTAGGCCTATAATCATAGCTATTCAGGAGGCTGAGGTCTAAGGATCATAGTTCAAAGCCTAGACAGGAAAGTTTGTGAGAATCTTATCTCCAATTAAGCACCAGAAAAGTCGGAAGTCGAGCTGTGGTTGAACACTAACCTTTAGCAAAAAGCTCAAGGACAGTGTCCAGGCCCTGAGTTGAAACCCCAGGACTGGCACCAAAAAAAAAAAAAAGACAAACTGCAAGTGTGGCTCAGGTGGTGGAGTGCCAGCCTTGAGCAACTAAAGCCAAGCAAGAACATGAGGCCTTGAGTTCAAGCCTCAGTACTGGCATTTAAAAACAGCAACACAAAACAACCCCCCACCCCCCAACCTTAAACTTAGTCCCTTACTCCCTTAAGACTTCATGAACTAAGTGTTCATTTAAAACTTGAAGAATGTATCTTTTATTCTTCTCCATGCCAAAGTTTGAGATAGAAAAATAAAACTTTATTTTTCAAGTTTATATGCAACTTTACAGGAAACAAATCTACTGGTAATATTAAGTATATGTATTACTGATTTCCAGTTGACTTCTATCATGCTCTGTACAAAATATACAGTTCTTTAAAGATATACTGTAGCCATGTGCTGGTGGCTCAGGCCTATAATTTTCACTACTGAGGAAACTGAGATCTGAGGATTGTGGTTTGAAGCCAGCCTGGCAGGAAAGTCACTGAGATTGTTATCTCCAATAAACTATTCAGTAGAAGCCAAAAGTAGAACTGTGGCTAAAGTGGTAAAGCACTAGCCTTTAGCAAAAGAAGCTCAGGAACAGCACCCAGGCCCTGAGTTCAAAAAAAGATAAGCACTATAGCTAAAAAACCCTTCTCTGTAATACAGAAAAACATTCTGCATACACATACAAGCTTTGAGCACATTTCAGGTAGTTCCTGAGTAGAAGTCAGAATTGGCTACAGTTTTCATTTTATATTGTTCATCACACAAAGAACAATAAAAGATGGACTCATGGATGGAAGACAAGCCAAAAAGTATTTACAACAGTTCTTCAGGTGGTGGTGGCAGTGGCAAGGATTCAGTAAGATCTTGATCAGAGGCAGGAAGAATAGAGAACTCCTGACATTGGATCTCATTGTTGAAATCTTCTTGACTCTTGGTAAAATCTGGTGGCAAGGGCAAGTTAAGTAAGTCAGAGTGTGATGGAAATGGTTGTTTGTTCTCAGAATTATCATCTTCAGAGGCTTGATTTAGACTGTCCAGAGATGGTTGAAGATAAGTAGAATCATTTGAACAAGAAGATGCAGTTATTGGGGGTTTGTCTGACTGGTTCTTGTCTTGTCCTTCCACATCAACAAAATGAGGTGGTGGAAGAGGCAGATCTGCATCATCTGAAGAAGAAACTGCAGTACCAATAGTTGATCGGTCAGCACTGTCCTCTGATGTGCCAGTTCCTGGCTCTTTTATTTTGTCTGTTTTGGAATTGATGGCATCTCCAATATTTTCACTTGATTCAAACAACTTAGCTGCTAAATCATCTACTATATGTGTGCTTTTGTTTGGTTTCCAGGTCATAAGTGAAACAATTGATGTGTGTTTTGTGGATATTTCATTTTCTCTAATGTTATCCATACATATGTCAGGAGTTTCTCCATCAGCAAATGGAGATCTACCTGCCCAATTTTGGTCCCTTAACACTGGTTTTCTCAAACATTTCCATAGGATGATCATCAGTATAGCTACCAACATAGAAATCAGAATTATACCAATTAATATAGCAGCTATTGCATTATAATTAGTTTTATGTGGAATTCTTTTGTTACTGGTAGGTTTTGAGGTGAACACTGGTGTATTCCTCGGTACATTGATAGTCTTAGGTAAGTAAACAGTTGGTGTTGGCTGTATGGATAGATTATGAACAGTTGGTACCACTGGTGTTTTAGAAGAGTTATAAACAAGTAATGGTGATTGTTGAGAGGGAGTGGAAGTATGGGGAGAATGTGGTAGTTGTCTAGCAGAGGTGAACACAGGCGGTGCTGTTTGTAGAAAGGAGGTATTGATGGTTGGAATTGGTAGACTGATGATGTTGTTGTCAGGTTGTCCAGAAGTGTGAGCTGCTGGCTTCCCAGAAGAAACATAAATAGCCGGTGTTGGTTGTTCAGCGTTGATTTTGGCAGGTGATATTGGTTGTCCAGAAGAAATGTTGTTGAATTGTGTTAGTTGATCCAAAGCATTTCCTGTTGTGTTTTGAGAATTAGTTGAGATATATGGCACTGATGATGTAATTAAAGCAGATTGTGGCTCCTTTTCTGGTATGGCCTTTGTCTCTGAGAAAAATACATTGTTCATGTATTCACAAAACAAAATTATGATGAAATATTTGCGATCCATTTTAGAATATTTCTTCCTTACCAGTGGTTTTACAACAAAAGAAAGAAAAAAGACATATCATTTGATGTCAAATTACATTTGTTTTTCTTTTTTTATTATATCAGTTATACTGAAATGGGAGATCATTGTTAATTAAATTTAATTATTTTCACACATATTTACAATATATTCCAATTAATCTCATCCTCTATATCACTGTCTCTGTATTGATCAAAAACTCTCATTGAGGTTCTTTATACTGTTTTCATACATACTTCCAATATGTTTCAAAAGTATTCAATTTCCATCTTTTCTTTTTCCCTTCCACCTTCTCCTACACTGACCATCATTAGAATGACTGACATAAAAAGCAGGTAGACACCTGATTTGTATTTACTATGCTAATTTACATTTGACTCACCATAGGTTACTATAAACAAATCTTGTATAGTCCAACTCATTATGTAGCATTTGGACCTCCTGGGTAGTGGTCTTCTAATTCTTGGATCTGTATTTGGCCCTGTGGCCCCTCTCTCCTTAACATTATTAACAGTATTAACTCCTCAGCTCAGCTCATACTTCTTAAGTGCATAGTTCAGTGTGCTAGGTCCGGGTACTTGTTCTTTTTACCCTCTGTTCCTACAAATGTGTACAAATGATCCTGTTACCTTGAGGAATACCAGTGACAATCTGCTACCATAATCCTATTGTCCTTACTTTTCTCTTTCCCCTTTCTTCACCATTGGACATAGTTGACTATTCCTTCACTAGTATTTGACTAGCTCTTTGTAAGACAACCATGACCTTCCACTACTCTCCCTTATGCCTCTCATAGATAGTTGATACTCAGAAATCACCCTTACCTATTCTGTTTCAAAATTTTTCTTTGTGTTTTCTTCACATCTTCATGACATAACTCCCGATCTGCAGTTATCTACTTTATGAGTCAAAGATTTTCTTTCACTGGGCACTGGTGGCTCAAGCCTATAATCCTAGCTACTAGGAGGCTGAGATCTGAGGATAACAGTTTGAAGCCAGCCCAGGCAGAAAAGTCTGTGAGATTCTTATCTCTACTAAAACTACCAAAAAAGCCAGAAATTGAGTGTATGGAGTGTAGCTCCTGTGGTAGAGCACTAGCCTTGAACACAAATGTCCAGGACCAGGGGGGAAAAAAAAACTCTTCTTCAGACCTTCTATGCCATAACTCCCAGGTCTACATAAGCAAACTAAATCTTCTTTTTTTTTTAAGTCCATTTGTATGCTCCTTAGTGGTTATTCTGTGTGTGTGTGTGTGTGTGTGTGTGTGTGTGTGTGTGTGTGTGTGTGTGTGTGTGTGTACATATCACTATCAGCAAATTTGACATGTTTAAAAATGGAATCCATCTTCACTTCAAAACTAATTACTCTAATGAAATTGATATTTTGGTTATTCATACCACTAAGATTCTTTTTTTTTTTTTTGGTCATGGGACCTGAACTCTGGGCCTGGGCACTGTCCCTCAGCTCTTTAGCTCAAGGCTAGCTAGCACTCTGACACTTCAGCTTTTTCTGCTTATATGGTGCTGAGGAGTCAAACCCAGGGCCTCATTCATGCAAGGCAAGCACTCTACCACTGAGCCACCTTCCCAGCCCCACCACTAAGGTTCTTATACACAGTTTATTGTATTAGTAATTTTTGTGCTAGACCTCACGATCTAGCACTGTGTTCTTATATCCCATAGTTTTAAAAAGAATCAGTTCAACTCTTAGGGTCAGAATCTTAGTGATCTCTGAGTTTGGTCAAGTCATAGTCAAGTAAGCCTGCTGCTACTTTTAGGCATGTATTAGTGACCACTAGATTTTTGTCAGGTTCTGGCTAGGTTTAACATAAAAAATAGTTTCAAGTGGTTCATATTCTTGTGGTTGAAATACCAGGAAAAAATAATTACAGTCATTTGATGTTTCCTCACAAAGTTACTCAGGGGTACATAGTGGAACTAACCTAGCCTGGACAGGTTTCAGGGTCAGTTTCCCAGAGACTTAAAACTGGAACTGAATCTTAAAAGGTCTGTAAGAACTAAGTTAGCAAAGGAATGATCCATTTGGGATGAAGATACAGGCATGAAAAAGGAAGCACATTGGGGTTTTTTGTGGATGTGGCAGAGAGTAAAACTTGAAGAATTAAGTTCTGGTTCTGCTTCTGCCACCTTACTACCTATTAAGCCATGAGACTAGTCACACAATCTGTCCACTTCTGCCTTACTTTAAAGTGAAGAGCTATACCAAGACAACTTTCAGCTCTGAGTATACTTGTTTTGTACTATACCAAACATAGTGGTAACTGTCAGTTATTTCTTAAGGAAAGCAAAACCTCAATGTTATATATGATAAAAAACTAAAATTAATCTGTAGATTATCGAAGAGACATTTGTTGTTCTGTTCCAAGGCACAATTAAAGGTTTTAAAAGTAGACTTTCTGGGCTGGGAATGTGGCTTAGTGGTAGAGTTTTTGTCTAGCATGCATGAAGCCCTGGGTTTGATTTCTTAGTACCACATAAGCAGAAAAAGCCAGAAGTGGTGCTGTGGCTCAAGTGGTAGAGTGCTAGCCTTGAGCAAAAAAAGCTCGGGGACAGTACCCAGGCTCTGAATTCAAGCCTCAAGATGGGCAGAAAAAGAAAAGTAGACTTTCATGCTTTGAGTAGTTTTCATTGGTTATCCCTCTACTACTGGTAAAGCAGTGATAATAAAATGAGACCCCATCTTTTTGGGGATGAGTGTTCTTTGTGGGTTTTTGTTTTGTTTTGTTTTGCTTTTGAGACAGGGTTTCACTATATAGCCCAAGTTAGACTTGAACTAGCTATGTTTTGAAGCTGGGCTCAAACTCTCCTTCCTCCCATTTTCACCTGCTGAGTGATATTGCAAGTGTATTCCAAAATTGCCCCATTTTAGTAAGGAAAAAAATACACGATTGATTTCCATGTTATCTGTCTCTCTTTTCTCCATGGTGTTAAGCCTTACTTTAAAGTTCTCATTAGAATTCCTGCTTATGATGAATTACATTAAGTGCTCCCTTGCTTGAGATTGCTGTTGAGACAAGACTTCTAAACTGACTTTTCTTCTTTTCATACTTTCCAAATACACATTTTTTACCCTAAACACTTTTAATTATGCTGTTTTTCACCCTATGGATGTATTCTTTTTTTCCAAGTCTATCCTTTTTTGCCCTTCTGATTGCATATCTGTATCTGTCTTTATCTTGCACAATTGTTTGAATTCTCCTTTTTTTTTTTTTGGTCAGTCGTGGGGCTTGAACTCTGGGCCTGGGCACTGTCCCTCAGCTCTTCAGCTCAAGGTGAGCACTTTACCACTTGCGCCTCAGCACCACTTTTGCTTTTCTGGTGATTTATTGGAGATAAGAGTCTCATGGACTTTCCTGCTCAGGCTGGCTTTGAACTCCTGAGTAGCTAAGATTATAGGTGTGAACCACTGGTGCCCGGCTTTTTTTGTTTTTTATTGTTTAATTAGCTGTTCATTTTTTTTTCACACAGTTTAGGTTAGGGGTTTTTGTTTGTTTTTATACCTGGGCCACCAACTTTTAGCAATTTTGAGTCAACCAGTTTTTTTTGTGTGTGTGTTCACACAGTGCTCACCAATACCAGTGCTTGAACGTAGGGTCTGCATGCTATCCCTTAGCTTTTTAGCTTTTTTGCTAAGGCTAGTGCTGCTACTTAAATGACAGTTTAACTTCTTGTTTATTTCTTGTTAATTGGAGATTGTTAACTGTGATCAGACCTCAGCCTCCTAAGTGCTAGCACAACAGCCACTGGCACCTGGCTTAGTCTACCAATTTTTTATTCTGAGATTTTTTTGGTTTCATGGAAGTTTTACTTCCCTGAGTACTCTTCACCTAGAATCATCCATTTGTATTCTTGCTATCTTTGCTTCTGTGTGTTTGAACAAATGCCCACATCTTTTTTTTGGGGGGGGGGGGGTCCGGTCATGTGGCCTGAACTCTGGGCCTGGGCGCTGTCCCTCAGCTCAAGGCTAGTGCTCTACTACTTGAGCCACAGCGCCACTTCTGGCTTTTTTCTTTTTGCTTATGTGGTGCTGAGGAATCGAACCCAGGGCCTCAGGCATGCAAGGCAAGCGCTCTACCACTGAGCCACCTTCCCAGCCCCTAACATCGTGATATCATGCCCTACTTCCACATGTAATTTGCTCTTTTTTTTTTTTATTGCTTGGCTTTTCACATTGTCTTTTCATCACTCTCATCTCAAACAAGATTAAAGAGAATTCTGAAGGAGGAGGGGCAGGACCTAGGAAAGGAAAAGAAAAAGAAAAAAAAGAAGAAAAAAAAGGACCTTGTCTAAGCATGCATATACTATGTGTTGTTTTAACACTGATGATGCATGTATTTTGTTTCATTGAACCTTTAAATGGCTTCAGAGGAATGGCTTTGTGGTATACAAATCAAGAGATAAATTGAAATGACTTAAGTGTAAGGATTTGTACCAAGATCTATGTAATTTCTCTACCCCACAGGCCTCATAATTTGATTCCTCTTCAGTAAACGTACCTTCCATATTAGACACTCAGTAAACATTTGATCCATATTAGTCCTCTTCTTTCTATTTCACTTTTCCCACTGTTTGTGGTGGGGTTTTTGCTGTTTTTGTTTTGTTTTGTGTTTTGCCAGTCCTGAGGCTTGAACTGTGGGCCTGGGCACTGTCCCTGGGCTCCTTTTGCTCAAGGTAAGCACTCTACTACTTGAGCCACAGTGTGCCACTTCCAGCTTTTCTTGTGATTAATTGGAAATAAGAGTCTCACAGACTCTGCTGCTTGCGCTGACTTTGAACTACAGATCTCAGCCTCCCAAGTAGCTAGGACTACTGGCCGGTGTAAGTTACTGGCATGCAGCTTCTTTTTTCACTTTTATTAAGACTTCTTTCAGAGGTGGCTCACACCTGTAATCCCAGCTAATTGATAGTAAAGATAGAGAAATCATGGTTCAAGGCTAACCCAAGCTCAAGGCCTCTTCCCCTTACCCCTCCCCCCAAAATTACAAGACTTTATGTCAAAGAACAAGTCAAGCATGAGTGTATGATTGTAGAGAGTGTGTGTGTGTGTGTGTGTGTGTGTGTGTGTGTGTGTGTGTGTGTGTGTGTGTGTGTGTGTAACTACAGAAAAAAGGACTAGGAAATATGGCCCAATTGATAGCCTGCTTAAGGCCCTGAATTCAAACCCTATTACTGCCAAAAGACTTCTACCAAGGTATAAACAAAAAAGGTAAAATCTAAGTAAGTAAATTCTGGGTGTTTTGTTCTGCTTGTTTTTAAGATGAGCTATTACTGTGTAACCCAAGCTGGCCTTGAACTTAGGATGTTCCTGCCTCAGCTTCCTAAATGCTGAGATTAGATGAATGCACTACCAAATGCAGCTCAGTAAATTCAGTTTATCTGTTTTGCAAAATGTTTTATTCATTTTGCAAAAAGGAACAGATTTGGAATTTTTGGCATAGACATGAGAACTAAATAATCTATGCAGTTCCAATTCACTATTTTTGTAGATTACCAAAAAAGGGCTTTGTTAGAAAATGTTATTCTTGAATGTTTCACTTTTAAAATGATTTTAGAAAATGCTTCCAGAGCAGCAGAAGATATAGGCCATGAATTGTCTTCAGCCGAAGATGTTTTCCTCTTTTGTGACGGCTTAAAATAATTTAGTTTTTAAAAAAATACCGTTCCTCTTTTTAGTTAGCTGAAAAAGGAAATAGGGGAAATGGTGAAAACAGGAACCTAATTTGAAACCCAGTTTAGTTGGTAAGATCAATTTTAGTAGGTTTATATCCTTAATGTCAGTAAGAAGTTGTTAGAAACTTCATTGTGAGATTTTTTTACTTGTTTGCACAATATTAACTACAGAATTCCATTTTGGAACTCTCTCATCATTTTCTCCCAGTTTACCCTCCTAGGTTTTTCTACATCATAATACTGGAATCTATTAGTATCCTACTATAGCAATTCAAAGTAGTCCAGAAAAGAAGCATCAAACAAATATTTTGATTGAATAGACCTCAGAGGGTTTACAATATAAAAACCTAGTTGAAAACTTTTCTCTAAAGCATCAAAGACTTAAAGAAGAATAAGTAGGAGATGTAAAAATTAAACTTTTTTTTCCAAAGGTAATGAAGGTAGTGTCAAATATATGATTTGTACCTAAAGTATATATTGTTTCTGTGTGGGGACCAGGTAATAGTAAGAAAAACTTAATGTGGAACAGAAAAATAACAGAAGAAAAACAAATAACCCAAAAGAGAAAATTGAAACAAAAAAAATTTTTTTTTTGCTTGTCCTGGGCCTTGAACTCAGTCTCTGTCTCTGAGCCTCTCTGTGCGCAGGACTAACACTCTACCCTTGAGCCACAACTCTCCTTCAGGCTTTCTCTGAATAGTTTATTGGAGATAAGAGTCTCATGGACTTTCCTTAGCTGAGCTGGCATCAAACTGTGATCCTCAGATCTCAGCCTCCTGACTACCTAGGATTACAAGCATGAGCCACTGGCACTGGGCCTAAGTTTACCACTTTTGAAACAAAATTTATAGAAAGCAAAAATTTTATGGAAAGGGAAGGATCGGTTGATAGAAGATATTGAAAAGAAAAGTTAACAAATGTCTGGGAAGAGCAGTAAGTTCTTGTAGAAGATAGAAGTGGGTAAAGTGAAGTTTGAAGAGAGAGGTGCAGATGAGAGAAACAGGCACACAGTTGTACTCCTGTCATTGGTCTGCATCCACAATACAGGGAACTAGTCTGTCCAAGCTGGAGGCCTTGAGTAGATGAGTACTCAAACCCACTTAACCTTCATTTTAGGCTTGCCTAGCTTCTATAAGAATCCTGAAGATTCCCTCTTCTCCCCTGTCCACTTCCTGCCTGTTTATCTTCCTCCCTGACACTACCTAGAAGCGCATCTGCTAATTACTCCAAATTGCCTGTACATAATCTTATGTGGAACTTCTCTAGAAATCCTTTATAATCTCAGGCAAAATCCAAATTTAACTACCTTCACATTGTGATATTTTCCTCATTATTTTAGGCTGGCACTTTGAAGTTTAAATTTGCATTTTGCCCTTTCCTGAATATTTAAAAAGTTTTTTTTAAAGAAGAGGAAGATGTAAATAGTCTTAAATAATAAGCATTTTAAACACAGTTGCAGTGGGGTAGGAGTCTGCATGTATTAGACATGTGTAGTACTAAGCCCAGCATTAACACTGATGCTGGAGCTTAGTGGTAGAACACTTGCCTATCATGCAAATTCCTGGGTTCATCCCCCAGCACTGAAAAAAAAAAAGAAAAGGAAACTCTTTATTAGAGAAATTTAAAAATATATATTTTCTAGCTTCTCAAATAGATAAAAAGGCCACTATGACATGTTAGGAGAATCATAAGTATCTATGAAATGTTAAACTAGATTATCACCCATTATGAGATTTATTATTCTTCAAAAACATAGACCTATTGAAACTCTGCAATTTTTATTGAAAAGACAAATTGACTTTGTAATTGCCCAGTTTGCTCACATAGTTTATATATAAGTAACAGTTTTGTACTTTTTATTTGTATCTTATGTCCTTTTTAAAGATCAGATAAGAATATGTGACATAGATATGTAGTTAATGTGAGAATAGTATACCCATTTTATCTTAACAGTTTTGTCTTAGGAAGCTTTTAAAACAAATTAGAATATTTTCATGTCTTCATTATTACTTAACTATAACATTCTATTTGTATAAAAATGAAACATGATAATTAATATCCATCTAATTTCTTTTTAAATTAAGTGAAGGCAAGATGATATTTTTACTATGGAAACTAAAGGGGATTAAAAAATGAAAAAGATTTATATCTGTAGATTATATTATGGATTGAGAAGTTTTTATAGAAACCAAGTTAGATTTTTTTTCTTTGTGATGATGGGGGAGTCCACATAACTCTACTTAGTAAGTTCACTACTGCACTGAGCACCAAGATATAACCTGATACCTAAACTTTTTAATAATTAATATTTTTATGTTGTAAATGCAGTCATATCTCCCGGAATCTAGTTGTATTTTCTAAACTTCAGCTTTATCTGTCATGACTGTATATTGTTTCTTTTAATTACAAAAATAAATTAACAAATATTTTGATTGAATAGACCTCAAAGGGTTTACAATATAAAAACCTAGTTGAAAACTTTTGTCTAAAGCAAGCTTGACATTGAATATTTTTAATTCTATGCAACAAAACCACAAAACTTGTTAGAGACATTTTTAACTATCGAGATTGAACTCAAGTTAAAAATACTAATGATTCTTTGGGTTTTAAAATCAAATCACATCAAATAGCCTATGTGTGAAATTTTTCTTACCTGCTAACTTCTTTTGCAGAATGGTAAATTCTTGTTGTAATAGATCATTTGGTGATTTGGCTAAGAAAGGTAAAAGGGTGGTCCAATTCAGATTAAAGTGCTCTTCTAGCACACTGAAATGGTTTCTGTAGAACAGAGGAAGTTTATCAATAGCTGTTAACAGGAAGAACAGGAAGCCACAAAAATGACTAAGATACATACCACTGCTTAACAGAACTCATGTTGAAACACAATTTGGGGCTATATGATTGGAGTGCTTTGAATTAATGTTTATTTTAAAAAGCCTTAAGATGCTCTATGATTTATAACACTTAAATGTTTAAAATGAAACATTGACAAGAAAAATTATGCTTTCTGGGGGAAATCTGTTCATTGGATATTAACCCATAGTGATATTTCTTTTTGGAAGAAGTAATGATGTTTGCTTGTATGATCTTAAGCAAGTCACTATACTTCTGTGTCACCATTTCCTCCTATGAAGGAGAATTTCTTTATTGGGTTATTGTAAGAATTAAATAATATTTGTAAGTATCCCCCACATGGTAGGTAAACAGTGTTATTCTTTTCTCATTTATTATGTAGGGAGAGCCCAGGTAACAGTGTAATTAAATTATTTTTGCCAAATACTTTTTCTTCTCTTTTTTTTCTTTCTTTTTTATTTCTTCAGTGCTAGGATCATGACTCTAAACCCTAGATTTAAATAGTTTTTTTTAAAGTAAGAAATAAGCAAAGTAAGTAAAACACACCTATCATCTCAGCTATGTGGAAGGTGTGGAGGATCATTAGAACTGCAGTTCAGTCTGAGCGATAAAGTTCCAGAGATGCTTATCTCAATAGACACGTCTTCCCAACTATGGCAGGAAGCATAAATCTGATGATCAAACTGGTCCAGGCAGGCCTGGGCAAAAGAAAAGACCCTATAATAGCTAGAGTAAAAGGGGCTCGATGGAGGCGTGGCTTAAGCATTTGAGTTCCTGCCTAGTGAGCTTCAAGGCCCTGAGTTCAGCAGTGGGGAGGGAAGGGAAGAAGAAGAGAATGCTAAGATAAAAGGAATAAAAGTTTATTTGTTTGGCAGTACTGGGGGTTTTGAACTCAGCTTTGTACTTTCTAAACTGGCACTGTACCCTTGAGCCATGCCACTAGTCCTATTTGTTGTTGAGACAGCATTTCATATGTTGCATAGGCTGGCCTTAAACTCTTAATCCTTCTGCCTTGGCTTCTTAAGTGTTGAGATATAGGTATGTATCACCATACCAGCTGTTACAAATTTTTAAGTCCCTGAATTAAGTTGATAAACCTAATTTCTAGTGGTAGAAAATTAGTGTGGTTTTTTATTTTTTTATTTTTATTTATTATTTATTTAGGTCTGTTATGGGGCCTGAACTCTGGGCCTGAACACTGCCCCTCAGCTCTTCAGCTCAAGGCTAGCACTCTACCACTAGAGCCACAGCACCACTTCCGACCTTTTCTGCTTTATGTGGTGCTGAGGAATCGAACCCAGTACCTCATGCATGCAAGGCAAGCACTCTACCACTGAGCCACCTTCCCAGCAGTGTGGTTTTTTAAAATTAAAAAAAACCCACACACATAAATTTTGGGTCAGAAGTGTCTTACTGACCATCTTTAAATACCTACCAATGTTGAAAATGAACGTGTGTGTGTGCGCGTGCGCATGCATGTATGTCCTAGTACCGGGATTTAAACTCAGCCCCAAAGTCTTGTTTGACTTTTTCATCCTAAGGCTAGTGTTCTCTACTTAAGCAATACCTCTACTTTTGGATTTTTACTGGTTAATTGGAGATACGAGTCTCACAGATTTGTCTGTTGGCTTCAAACTGATCCTCAGATCTCAGCCTCCTTTAGTAGCTAGAATTACAGATGTGAGCCACAGACTCGCCCAGCTTATGAACCACTTGTGTTTGTTCATGAAGTATTATTTGCTAGTATTATTCTGAAGATAGGTATTTACTAGCAAGGTAGTAAGGAGTAGTGGGGGGGGGGGTTGTTTGTTTGTTTGTTTGTTTGTTGGCAGTCCTAGGGCTTAAACTCTGGGCCTGAGCACTGTCCCTGAGCTGCTTATTGCTCAAGGCTAGCACTCTACCACTTGAGACAGCACCACTTTCAGCTTTTTCTATGTATGGGGTAATCAGGAATTGAACCCAGGGCTTTATGCATGAAAGGCAAGCACTCTACCACTAAGCCACATTCCCAGCCAGTGGTAGTGAATTTTAAGTATTCTGAAGAAATAAAGGTTTTCTGTTTGGTGAGAAAATATTGAGCATGAAAATTGTTTCCTAGTTAACTTTTCATTTTTACGAAGATGCTGTTTTGCTTTAGTTTCCTCTGTATTTATGTCATTTGATTAAAAGAGGGCGTGTGTTATCACCCTGAGTTCTGGGGTCTAACCTCATATTTTTAATTTGTATAAAGTGAGAAAACTTCCCAGAGTTATTTCTAATCTAAAATAGATATCTAGATGTTACCAAGATTGGTATCAGTATTCTTTCATGTTTTACTTTGCTAGCATTTTACTTCACTAGCTTTATTTAGAATTTTAAACAACGTAATAAATTAGTGGGGTTTCCCACCTCATTTAAAGATGCAGTTATGAAAATTGTAAGAAGTAAATTTGTTGGCCAGAAGCAGAACCATCTAGGCAGTTAGGTAAAAATTGCCAGTGCTTGAAACTCCTCCTCATTCTATTTGAATCAGAGAGTGTGAGAATTAGGCCTTGATGGGTGTTTGTGTTCTATTTGTTACTGTCTTATTAATCCTTCATATGATTCTGATTTATAGCCAAAGTGAAAACCACTAGTCAAGAAGGGAGGATAAAATTGTGGTCAACTTGGAAAATACATAATTTTTAAATGGCTAGCATATTAACATAAAATAAATATTACTCATTAAGTATTTTTAATGTAGATTTTTTTAATGTAGCCTTGTTTTTAATTAGTATGCCCTTAGTCCATTTCAGTAGATATTTTGAAAATATCTCACATTTTAAAGCATTATTAATAATAAACATAAGCATTATTTTTTGTGAACTATGCATTGTTCTAAGAGCTTCATCAATATTAGCTAATTTAGTGATCTTCATAAGTGATTGTGGTAATCTGTATTACTATTTCCACTAGACATGTGGGAAAACTGAGGCACACAGACTGTAAATTTTCAAGGTCAGGCTCATAATAAGCTATCTGGATCCCAAAACACATGCTTACTACCAAGACTCAGTCTGGAAACTTGTATATACATCATCCAAACAGCTTGTTTGTTTGTTTGTTTGTTTTGTTTTGTTGGTTGTGGGTCTTGATCTCTGGGCCTGGGCACTGTCCCTGTGCTCTTCAGCTCAAGGCAAGCACTCTACCTCTTGAGCCACAGAGCCGCTTCCGGTTTTCTAGTGTTTTATTGGAGATCAGAGTCTCGTGGACTTTTCTGCCCTGGCTGGCTTTGAACCATGAACCTCAGATCTCAGCCTCCTGAGTAGCTAGGATTACAGGTGTGAGCCACCAGCGCCTAGCTTGTTATTTATTTTTTATTGTGATTAAAATTCAACCTTTATCCTTTTGCATTACAAGATTCAGGCCATGGATTGAATTTCCAAATGGAAAAATTTGCTATATTGCCTTATCATAACTTCACCCAAACACTTTTGTCGGTCATGGGGGCTGAACTCTGGGCCTGGACGCTGTCCCTCAGCTCTTCGGCTCAACACTAGTGCCCTAGAACTTGAACCACAGTGCCACTTCTGGCTTTTTTCTGCTTATGTAATGCTGAGGAATAAAACCCAGAACCAAACACATTTTTTAAATGTAACTAATTGAGATGGAAGGCTTGACTTGACTCTTAAGTTTTTACTGTACTTGGATTCAAGCTAAACAATTACCTTGAATAGACTTTGTAATTTTTCAAACCTGAGCACAGACACAAACATACCCCCATTTTCCTTTGTTGATATCACATTGGATAATAAAAATGAAAATTTATCTTTTATTAATTCACTTGGCATCCTTGAAGTTCAAATAGTAACCAACCTTAGGATATTTGGTATTTTTTGTTTGTTGGCAGTGGTTGAGACAGAGTCTTACCATTTGGCTTAGTGATCCTCCTGCCTCAGCTTCTCAAGTGCAGGATTACAGATGTGCATCGTCCCCCAGGTACTTGTTACTAATGATCCAATAAGCAGCATTTATTTCAAAGACATGTTATTCTTACATGCTAATTCATACTTCAGACTTATGCTTAGCCTTCTGATGTGCCTTTATTTCTTACAGATAATTATAATGTGTTCTAAGACAATAAAATACAAATATGCATGGTTAGTTTTATGCTAATGATCTTAATTTATACAGAATGGTTTTAATATTTATACTAGTAAAGCACTTTCTTTTGTATAACTGTGTATGAAAATGAAGGATGTAGCATGAAATTAACTACATTGGTATAAGAGCTAGTATGAATTATGCCAGATCTAATCAAAGGTTACCATTAATTTATACAGTTCAGCTCTGCACATTAGGAATTTTACTTCTGTTTGATATTAAAGCATACTCTTGGCTCTAAGGACATACTGAAACTTTTCAAAGTTCAGTTCCATTGGTAAAAATTATCTTATTATTGCTGAATAGAAAAGATTCATTTATTCCTTGCTATCACTGTTAGTCAGTTTCCTCGGTTTAGCTTTTTTTTTTTTTTTTTTTTTTGTCGGTCGTGGGGCTTGAACTCTGGGCCTGGGCACTGTCCCTCAGCTCTTCAGCTCAAGGCGAGCGCTCTACCACTTGAGCTACAGCGCCACTTCCGGTTTTCTGGTGGTTTATTGGAGATAGGAGTCTCATGGTCTCTCCTGCCCGGGCTGGCTTTGAACCGCGATCCTCAGATCTCAGCCTCCTGAGTAGCTAGGATTACAGGCGTGAGCCACCAGCGCCCCGCTTGGTTTAGCTTTAAACCCTTCCCCAAATGGTTGTTTTATTTGCTTTTCAAAATATTGTCAAACAGAAATACATAGTTTAAGTAATTAAGCAGGCATACACCTCCCTTCCTGCCCTACTTGATTTCAAATTTTAGATTTTGTGACCAACACTTTGACATTAAATTCCAAATGAACTGTGTTTTTCTCGTCTATAACCTTTCTCATAGCTACTTTGCATTTTTATTTCCTAAAGCATCTGTTAGTTGGTCAGTTTTTCAGTTCCTTCTTCATCCGTTCGTTCCCTTGTAGCTGTGCGCACTCCAGGAGATTGCATCATGAGGTTGGGTCCTGTAAGCTGTTTTGCTCTTTTCCAAGTGTCTGATTCAGCAGGCCAGAGCCCACTGCTTGCCAGAAAGTCACCGTTGCTTCTAGGCTGGCGCTTGCCTACTTGTTTTGATCTTCTGAGAGATGAGACTTTGTTTGCCAGAACCACAGTTGATAGAAATAGAAAGGTGCAGATAAGAAAAAGCACTGCAATTATAATTAAGCAAATGAGCATAGCCATGTTGTTTTCCGCACAGACATTTTCTTTAAAAACTTCATCATGACTTTTGCTTGTGTTTTCAGAGCTTTCTGTTATTAGAAAACTGTTGTTGACAACAGAAGATGTATAGAGCTCCTGTTGAGATTTAGAAGGTAAAGATGCCATGTGAGAAGAGGTTGCTATTTCTGGCATGGTTGTAGAATTATTTTTGTAATCCACTTGAGGAAAGTCAGGGTTTGAGTTAATGTTTCCATTTTGGTGTGTGTCTGGGCTGCTTTGAATAGCTGAATCCCAGGCAGTAGGCTTACTAGCCCACAGCTGTGTATGGTTGGCTTTAGTTCCAGTTGACAAGGCGAAAATGATTGTGATCAGAAAAGCAAGATGTAAGTACTGTCCTATGTGTTCCATATCCATGAATATTCTGGTAATCTGTGGGGACAGCAATATCAGTTGTTAAATTGTGAAAGAATAATAGCTCCTAGATTTGGTATTTGTAATTAGAAGACAATCATTACAAATATAAACTCATGCCTTAACATTTGCTGTTGAATTCCTTCTTTCCTAGTCTCAAATTATTTATAGATCATCATTTAAGTTTCTATTATATGTTTAGATGCTGTAAGTTAAGCATTAAAAATATCTTTTTCAAATTAAATACTGTTACTTTTCATACTTTTCTCTCCTTTCAGCATGATAGACTTCAGCTTTGATACAGATGCTTCTCCTTTGACTGTTTACTCATTTTCTTTTACAAAAATAAAAAATGGACTGTTCTTTTTGAAATCCCCACCTTCCCAGCTCACACATTAACCAATCTTTGCAGTAGAAAAACGTGGCAAAGTTTTGCTTCATATGTAAAAAGAAAATACAAATGGCTTTTTTTTTTTGGAAAGAGAGGAAGTTTTTAAGAAACTAGAACTAAAAGAAGACTTCAAAATTCAAGTTGATTTTGTTTTTCCTTCTTGGGCATTTATCTTGACACTTATAATAAAGCAGTACTTAGAAATACATTCCTAGATTTGTGAAAGCAGTTTTATGTTGCTACTTCTCCATTTTAATCTGTATTTTATCTCAACTTACTGTGACTTTCTGAAAAGGAAAACATGCTTATGTTTTCAGTGTAAAGATCTTCCAAACAAAGAAAAACAAATTTCTTCTAAACTTCTAAAATTTCAACAAAAAGGATATTTTTGTTGAAAATATCTATCTAATTCCAACAGTCTAAAGAAAGATATACAATAAAAATGCCACAAAGATATTTGACTTAGTATGAAGTAGAAGATTACAAAGGGTCTCAACATAAAATTGAAAAAGTTGAGAGATTTCAGCAGGAGTCAGAACCACAATTCAGTGGCATGGGTATTGTGTGAGCAAGAACAACACCAAAAGTTGAGACTCCATTTTGGCTGAGCACATCCTAGAAGTCTATACAAAAAGGGGACAAGTTATATTTCAAATTCTTATCTACCATAAATTTAGAAATTTGGGGAAAGCTGGCATATCTGTTCCAGATATTGATAATCTAGCAGGAAAATATTTTTTCACCATTAGCAAGTTACCTCTTTTATAATAATATTTGTTTGTCCTGAGCTACTTTTGTAAGAATATTTTGTTCTTAGTGTTTATTTGAGGGAACTAAAAGCAAAAACTGGATTGTTTGGAGGTTTGGTAATGAACTGGCTGAGAACCTTGTGTATTTTGTAGAAACTCTTTTCAAGCTTGTACGTGTAGAAGAATCTTTTTCCCCCATATGCAGATTCTAATTCAACAGGTCTAGGATGGTACCTGACCTTCTGTGTCTCTTAACTCACAGATGCCATTTGAACACCAAGGTATTTTTTTAAATTAGTAATAGTTGCTTTTGTCAGTAGATAATACTTTGTATTCTATTGAAATAAAGAAAGTGAGAATAGAAAGTGTGATATGTTGGGTTACATACACAAAAGTAGCATATAGGATCAAGATTATCTTTTGGATTATTTATTATTATCACTTAAGATATAGTGGCTTCAGTTTTTAACTTGAATGATAGAACTCTTTGGATACTTATGATTCTTTCCTGAAAAGAAAGTTTAAATTGAATTAGTGATTTCCAACCTTTTAATTGAGAGTGGACTTTTGCATTAGATGCTAAAATGATTTTAAAGTGTGTTATTCTTGTCACAGTTAATTAACAATGTAGGATGCATCATAGCATTTGTGCACATTTTAGGAGAGCTTACCACAAGACAGATAATAGGCCCCCTGTCAATTGTCTTCAGCCAGATGTACTATCGTGCCCAAATAAACAAGCAGATGACAGAGTGAGACTTTCTCTTATTCTTACAAATGCCTGAGAATTGGTGACTGTTTCTCCTTCTCTAATTTTGCCACAAAGTGATTAAAAGTTGTTACATTTTTAAATCTCTGGACATTTTCAATAAAATGTATAATGGCCAAGCATTAGTAATGAGAGATATTTTTAAAACTCTTTTTTAAAATATCAGACGTTTCAATTTTACTTGGAAAACCCAAGTTCAAATTTTTCCCTAATCTTGAATTTAAACCATACTAACAATCTTTCCAATTCTAACTGTTTATATTGCATACAAAATTTCATATGACAGAAGAAAGCAGCATACATTTTCAGTAGCTTATGATTCTGTTTTGTTAACGAGATTCTTACATACCTTTTGAAGTACTTCCTCAAACACAAGTTTGAACAAAGTTATAAGTGAAAAGAATAAGAAAAGTCAAATTTATGACCTACCTTACAAAATGCTTGGTCAAATCTGATTATAATGTAATTTTAATAAACCACTTCTTTTCTTGTCTTCTTATTTAAAGTAGATTATGTTTTGAGACCTTGAAACTTACAGTAAATCTGCAGTTAAAAATGATTTTGTACAGCAAGCTTTCCACTTTCAAAACCAAACCACAGATGACACATTTCCTTTTCGCTGCAACTCAAGCACATGTCACTGTAGAAAAAACTCCCACTTGTGTCGTGGGCCACTGGGATGATAGGAGGCTTTGTAGAACAATCCACGCCTCCAGAGGAGGGAGGGTTTTCTGTTTAACATCTCTTCACTTTGTGTTCATTATGTATGCCTGCTATATGCTTTTGACTGATATACTAGCATTATTCAATAGCAGTTTTAAGGTGGTGACTTTAATTTAGCAGTAAAACCTTCCTTAAAATTTTTATTTGTATATGACAGACTTAATGAAAATGTGAGTATGGAGCCCTTAGGATACTTGACAGATAATAGAAATAATGTTATGTATAATTGGCATTTCAATTTGTGGAACTGCAACAATGATTTGAGAAACTACCTTGTAAACTTGAATTATATAAGACAGTGGGAATGTAGCTTAGTGGTAGAGTGCTTGCCTAGCATGCATGAAATCTGTAGAAATTCTTTTCAAGCTTACATGTGTGTAAGAATTTTTTCCCCAAATCAGGTGTGAATTTTCATCTTGTGGTGGTATATTGGTGCTCAAAAGTTTGAGATTTGGAATTTTAGATTAGAGATGCTCAATTTGTATCTTTCTTTTTTTTTTTTTTTTTTCTGGGTCCAGTCATGGGGCCTAAACTCTGGGCCTGAGCGCTGTCCCTCAGCTCCTTCAGCTCAAGGCTAGTACTCTACCACTTGAGCCACAGTGCCACTTCTGGCTTTTTTTTCTGCTTATGTGGTGCTGAGGAATTGAACCCAGGGCCCCATGCATGCAAGGCAAGCACTCTACCACTGAGCCACCTTCCCAGCCCCCTGTATCTTTCTTTATTTCAAGTATTTTTCTTTTGTTTGAAAGCCACTTAATATGTCACAGTTTTATTTCCCCCCAACAGATTAAAAACTCTGATGTGAAGACCTTTATCATCATTATTGGTAGTACCATCACCAGAGTAATCAAGTATAGAAAACATTGAGCCTAAGTTAATATAAATTATTTATATTGGAAATGCTAGTACCATATTCCCCAGGGCTTTGTAACCAACGCTACTCATGTTGATTAATGTTGTTTTGATTTTCAGCAACAGATGAACTAATATGGTGTAATCAAAACTAATAATCATAATATGGCATAATCAAAATTGGTATTTATTGGCTCACATGATTGAATAGTCTATGGATAATTTTTGAAATTAGGAGGGACTTTATCTAGGACTTAAATGATATATCCAAGGCTTTATATTCTTCATTTCTCAGCTCCTGCTCTTAGTTTTTAGGCAGGTTTTTCCTTTATATCCCAAGATAAGAGTTA